GGCACGGTCGGGCAGAGGCGGGGGGCACGGTCGGTCGGTCGGAATAGGCAGACAGGGGGCCACGGGGCGGAGGGGTTGCACGGTTGGTCAATCGGAAAGGAGGAGGGAGTGGACGGGGGGGCACGGTGGAACCCAGCACGTATCCCGGCACGCATCCCAACACACGGGTGCGGCACGCATCCCAACGCACATCTTGGCCTAGAGACCCAGCACACCCAGGCCACACCCCAACATGTATCCCAGCACGCGAAGGCAGCCTACGTCCCAGCACACGTCCCAACACACATCCCACTCCAGCGCACATCCCAGGCATTGCCGGCCGGTCGAAATAATGCAGTGCGAGATCACACTGGTAGGTATGATATGAACACTGTGCAATCTGAGATAATATGGTTCGGCAAAATATCACGCAACGTACGAACACATAATTTGATTTCCATATTCGAATAGAACAAAGTATGACGTAGTACACTGTGGTATAATGGAATACACGATGTCTAAACCTAATCTACTAGAACACAAAATACAACTATTGGTTAACACGACATATAGTTTGTTCAAATATGATAACACGAAAATACTGTACTATAATATCATATAACGTGATATGATATAATTTGATATGACGTTTTACCAAATACTTGTATATACTACCATATAACTTAATGAAATGATAGTACGGCCAACTTCTAATACAGCATATGTATATATACAGAGATTTGTATATGAGTACGGGCGCGCGTGTGCAATAACCGCATGATTTAGATAATGAAGCAGCCCCCCCCCTCAAGATCTGAGTGATGATTATCTCCGGCCGGTACAGTTTTGGAACTTCAATATCACCGGGGAAAACACGAATCGTATATTGAATCTTCTCACCGCATCATCATCAGCATCATTATCATCATTACCATTAAAACTGCTACTATTACGATTACGGATACGATTGGTACTACTACATCATCATTATTCTCATTACCATCAACTACCACGACTACGACTACTACCTTTCCCCCCCCCCACGGGAGAACTTCTTTATCTCTGGGGCTTACTATCGCCGGAAAATGCCCGAGATGAAACACTCACGAGGAATTGAAACTTGTTATGAATTCAGAAGTTTTTTCAAAAGGAATTCGATTGGTTTGCAATTCTGTTCTTTCTCGAAATCCCTCCCTCCTCCTCTCTCCCTCCTCCCTCATCCTTCCTCCCTCCCCTACAACAACAACAACTTTTATTCTCATTATTACTATTACCACTACTACTACTACCACTACTACTACTACTACTACTACTACTACTACTACTACTACTACTACGACTACGACTACTACTACGACTACTACGACTACTACGACTACTACGACTACTATTACTACTACTGCTACTGCTACTACTACTACTACTACTACTACTACTACGACTACTACTACTACCACTACTACTGACTACTACTACTACTACTACTACTACGACTACTACTATACTACTACTACGACTACTACGACTAACTACTACTACTAACTACACGACTACACTACTACTACTACTACTACTACTACTATACTACGACTACTACTACTTACTAACTACTACTACTACTACTACTACTACTACTACTACTACTACTACTACTACTACTACTACTACTACTACTACTACTACTACTACTACTACTACTACTATACTACTACTACTACTACTGCTGCTGCTGCTGCTGCTGCTACTACTACTACTACTACTACCACTACTACTACTACTACTACTACTACTACTACTACTACTACTACTACTACTATTACTACTACTACTACTACCATGTAACGCCCCTCACGGGGGTAGAAACCAATTGGACCAAGTGTATTTGCTGGGGCGTCACGCTGTCACCCTGCTCATCCTTTCCTCATCATGCTCGTCCTCCTCCTCATCCTTCTCCTCGTCCTCCTCCTCTCTCCTCCTTTTCCTTGTCCTCCTCCTCCTCCTCCACGTCCTCCTCCTCCTCCGCCTCCCCCTCCCTACCTCGGGCGTGATGGACCATGGGACCTCATGGAGCCTCCTGGTAATCCCGGGGGCCTCCTGGGATAGCAACCTCTGGGGACTTCCTGCGGCCTCTTGAAACCTCCTGGGCTCTCCTAGGGTATCCTCAGCCCTCCAGGGGCGTCCGCAGCGTTCTGGAACTTTTGGGTCGTTCAGGATACGCCCGGAGCGTGATGGGACCTCCTGGGGCCTTGTGGGACCTCGCAGGGCATCCTGGGACTTCCTGGAGCGTCCTGGAGCCTCCTTAGGATTCCCACGGCCTCCGGGGACGTCCTGAAGCTTCCTGGAGTTTCCTGATGCCTCCTGAGACCTCCTGGGGCCTCTTGGCGGCTCTCTAAGAAGCCACGCGCGTGGCCTCAAAATTGGCGACAGTTTCAAGGATGGGAGCCTTCCCATTGAGAAAGAGGGCGCGGTGGACGTTGAAAAATGACGACAGTTACACACTTGAGGCCCAAAACCGTGCCGGGCACCCCCCCCGCCATTCCCGGTCCTGCATAGTACGGTGCGATTTGCC